AGCAATAAGCTACAGGACTAAGAGCACTAAGCTACAGGACTAAGAGCACTAAGCTACAGGACTAAGAGCACTAAGCTACAGGACTAAGAGCACTAAGCTACAGGGCTAAGAGCACTAAGCTACAGGACTAAGAGCACTAAGCTACAGGACTAAGAGCACTAAGCTACAGGGCTAAGAGCACTAAGCTACAGGACTAAGAGCACTAAGCTACAGGGCTAAGAGCACTCAGCACTAGTAGAGCATTGAGCTACAGGAGCTAGTGCACTCAGCACTAGTAGAGCACTAAGCTACAGGACTAAGAGCACTAAGCTTCATGACTAAGAGCACTCAGCACTAGTGGGGGGCACGCTCAACAATCTAGCCAAGAAGTTTTATTAATGTCACAACCTGCCATCTAGCAATGGCAGCAGAGAGCCTATTGTCAATGTCAGAAAGCTGATAAAGTTTGGCCTGCCCTATGAAAATAGTAAAAGGGATATTAAATGATGAATGGATGTGCAATATGTATATATTTGTATGTTTGTAGTATGGGTTGCTATCATTGACTACTTGCTATTCTTCAGAAATAGAGATTATTCTGCAATGTAGATAACTTGTAGTTTTTATGAATTTCTTTCGACTACAATGTCCCCTAAAGAGGAATTCGGTGTTTTCATTGATATTTAGTCTAGATTAACAAGATTTATATACTCTATATCTGAGCTGTATCTTTGTCCTCGGTTCACATTTTCCATCTTCATATAGATTCCTCAAGTACATCCGTGTCTTCTTTTATGTTTGAAGATCTTGTATACAGTGAAAAACTGCCACATTCTCATAAATTTTCCTACATTTTATCATCACAACCTCAAGAGCAAGCTGGTTCTTACGTGTCTCAGTGTTATCATGGACATTTGGGCAGGCCTTGAAGTGGAAGGGATGCACAAAACCACACGTAGTGCATGTAAGTTGTTTACCTGAATTTACCAGATGGCCACTAATACTAGTGGCCTCGACGAGAACAGGAAGCCGGGGGCTTGTCGAAGGTCCCCTTATAAAGCATAAAATGGAACTGTGAGCTAAACATCACATACCAACATAAGAGAAGTAACCAATTGTAAGCGCATTGGTTATGGTGCACTAATGCTAATTGTATGGGTATAATACAGTCAGTTGTATGGGTATAATACAGCCAGTTGTCAGTTGTATAGAACAATATACAACTTGGACGGTCAGGAATTGAGCGCCGGCCTGCATGAAGCGAGACCGTTGCACTACCATCCAGCCCAAGTGGTTGGACATGCCCATAAAAGATGATGTCTGGCATAAGTATATTACATATACAGTATTGAGATAATGTAGGTCTAGAGTAAACACAATGAAAAGTAAATGCCTAAAAGTGCAGTTGGATAATTGTAAACATTTGATGTACATGACTTTTCATCTTTTTATCCCGCAAAAGTAAGAAGTTTTGCTGGAACACAGCTAAAAAAAGAGCCATGGTGAGGGAACTCCTGAGTTGCCTCACCATATGAGGTGAGGTAAGTTGTGATGACTCTGTTGTTGTATACATATGATGTGACTATATGAGCCTGCAGGCTGCAATAATAATAACCTAACATATCAGGCATCCAGCGGGGAAGCTTAGTTTTAGGCCATTCTGAGAAAATAAAACAAAAGCATCAACAACTACTTCAGCTAATAATAGAAGTGCCAGATCCCCACTTCACTGTGTACAGTTCAGATGCTTTGAGCATCGCACACCATTCAGGTACAGCATAGAAAGTTTAGTGCCTTTTGGCTACTGTCTGAATAGATAAAGTGGGTACCCTGACACAGAAACTTGTAATTAGGCCTTAGCTCCATCAGGCTTATCATGAACTATTAATATTGGCATCTCCTACACCAAGAGCTGGCCAGAGTGAAGTAGGTCTTCAAGCCAGTGAATAGAACATATTGGAGCAAACTCTCCCAAGTCATGCCTGGGCTGGGTTTGGGGAGTAGAACTACTCCCAGAACCCGACCAAGGTAAGGTATGACCAAGATAAGTTGTCGATCACCAATAAGTTGATGATGATCCAGCATTCACAATCAACAATAAGGGAAAGATTGACCTCTCATAGCTACCAACTGTTGTATAGAGGTTGACTCAGAATACTAGTTCTGTACTAGCTGGAGAGTTTGGACTGAAGCTCAAGAGCTATATATAAAGTATAGTATGTGTTTGTGTATACTATGCACTATGGTACTGTCATGTGTGTGTCTATACATACACATAGTACTTACATATAACAGTGAATTCCTGCTTGTCCATATTAATTTGGATGTGAATGCTGTATATTTGTGTGTATACAGTATATATATTTAAACTACAATGAAAAGATAAATATAGAATTAAGAAATAAGTACTACAAATTAAGATGAAAGGCTCAAGACATACCGAAATTATCAAACAAAAAGAGGATATAAGATAATCACATGCAAGCTTGTAAGTGACTACAAGAAAACAAAAAGAAAGACTTTTTGAAACCAGAAATAAGGAACTTGAAATTAGTTGCAAACTGTAAGATGTAAAAATAATAAGAGTGCTGTGCAGTACTTCATAGCAGTATACATAGTACAAATTCACAGGAGCCATGATGAGGGTTCAAACCTGTGTGCAGGATGTTCCCAGGCACACACTAGTCGACTGCACTATGACATGGAAAAGAATTACAACTACTGCACCTTCAAGGATCTCGAGGCTTGCACTTGCTACGTATACATAGTATATAATGGGAGTATACATAATAGTGGACGGTTGGAATAAATTCTAGGAAGGCAGGTGTGCTAAAACCACTGGAAGTTTTGAAACTACTGTATTTATGATAAAATATACTAGGACGATAGGGTGCTGTGAGTGTACAGTAGCACTCTACCTGTAACTACAAATGTGTATCATGAGATGAAATGCAAGCAACAAAATTCAGTTCAATGGAATACCAGGCAGACTGGAAGATTCTCTTACTTTTGTAAGTTAAGTTGCAGTGTAAAATGACATTAAAAACTGTCGTCTTTGCAGTTGTTATTAGTATAGAAATTGTGGTGTGTGAAAATGTGCTAAATTTTTTTCACTTGTACAAACATAATTGTGGCCAAAAATAATGAAGACACTGGAATATCAAAGGTCAATGACAAAGTCTGCTTCAAATAGTTTCATTTGAGGGAGTTGACACTTCATTCAGATACATGCAGGAATTTAATTTAATTTCAATTTAAAAACTTGAAGTTGTTTTAAGTTCTTTTGCTGATTACATTTGCAGGAAACACTTAAATTTTAGTATTTCATTTGGTGTGTATTTCTGTAATTATTGTAGAATAAAGCACTTAGATAGAGCCGTGCCCTGGTAGAGCAGCATTCAGTTGGTTGCGTCATTGTCTCCTTGACTAGCAGCTTTACAGGTTATCTTGAGGTGATTTGGCCACATGAAGCAGTGGATCCATTTTGTATTAATGTTATTTATATGCAGTATTTTTGTGAATGAAATACATTTTAATCTTTACTTCTGTATAAAAATGTTCATATCAAGTTGCAACTGTAAAACAATAGCAGGAAAACTATTCAAATACAAAAAGATAAGGAAGGGGAAGTTCAGATTTATTGAAAAAATGAAAATAAATGTAGTAATACAGAGCTCAAAAAGTTGATTAGATAATTTTTGCACTGGAGAAAGAGGGAGGAGAAATTTTGAATAAAAATGTCAAATTAATACAATACAATACAATTTTATTTAGGTAAGGTACATACATACATAAATATTTACAAGGATTGTTTAACTTATAGGTATAGCTAGTACATACAATGCCTAAAGCCACTATTACGCAAAGCGTTTCGGGCATAAGATAAATATAGTAATGTAATGTTTGTACAAGAGGATCTATTTAATTAACTCTTTTTTACAGCTGCAACATTTATTTTGTAATGCCTCCACCAAGGATTAATGCACCCCCAACCCCTCCCCCAATAACATTGAGCTAACCTCAAATGCTGAAAATGCCCTGCTCCTTATTGTCCCGCTTATGGTCGTGTATATCCTTGTTGAATGTCCTGACTTCCAGGACGTGTGTGTGTCTTGCTTCCCGACTGTCCCTCACGGTCACCTGTCCCTCGATACAATCCTTGGTGAATCGGACACCTTTGATATCGTTTGCCTTGTGCGCTTTTGCTCTCGTATTGGCAGCCTTGGTGATATTTAGCACTTTTGAATATCCTACACATTTCATGGTGCTACTTAGACTCCCGGGCTTGGTGCCTTCTTTTGATAATTACTTACTTAGTTACTTACTTGTCCCATATACAGCCATGCATCTCCTTGTAGAAATGTAACCAATGTTCAGGATGATTGTGCATCCTGCTTTCCTAGTGTTCCTCTGAGTCACTTGTCCATTGATGGAATGTTTGGTAAATCCAGTACCTTAGATGTTACTCATCATATGCCTTTTTTTTTCATATTGATATCCTGAGTGATATTTAGTGCCTTTTGCATATCCCATAAATTCGTTTACAAATTTAAACCATTCCCAGAGACATCTCGTAACCCTTCATAACCCAAAACAAATTTTCTCATAAGAAGTAATGTAAATTGAGTTAATCTGTTCCAAACTCCCAAAAATATTAACTTCAAAATACATTTTGTGCATAATAAACACAAATATTTTGTACTATAATATGTACAAGTTATAGCTTACCTTTATTGATGACATGTTGGCGTATGGAAGACGGTGAGGAGGTGTGTTAGTCTTTAAAAGGGAAGTCCCCTTCCATTATAACATCAGACAGTGATGATTTCTCTGGTGTACTCTCTCTCCTATGAGAGAGAGTACCTAGTGGTATGCAGTTTTGCCTGCATACCACTAGGACCTGGTTGTGACTCACTGCTTGCTTTTCTTACTAAGAACCTTTCCATAGAGACTTGTTTTTCCTCTATGGTCATCCTCACATGTGTTTTCTTAGGTTGAACCTTAAACTGACTTTCTTGGGACCCATGGTGTGGTATATAATAATTACTTTAGTGTTTAGAAACAAAAAAAGCTGAAAAAAAATAAAATTCTTTACAAAGAATTCAAGAGCGATTGTCACTACTTGGGAGGCATTGTTAAATTGAGGTGCAGTCGCCCGTTTCACCAGGAACCACGTGCTCGGTGACACATACGTGTATGAACAAACTCGCAACTCAAGGCAAAGCTCGTAAACCAAATCAAATTTTACGAAGAAATTGAACTCGTAACCCATAAAATTTGTAAATAGGGGCTTTCGTAAGCTGAGGTTCCACTGTATATACAATATATGTATTTTTTGTGTTTTTTTACTTTATAAAAAAAGCTGTGGAAGGTTGGATTGAATTTGTAGAAAGAATTGTCAAACTAAAAAAAATAAGTTTTTAAACAAAATATTACAAATAAATTAGATAAAACAACGTAGTACCTGTAGTTCATTTTCTTAAGACTTCAAATAGGAAACTGCAGAGGATGGCTTAGCAATGATTTACTTGTGCTCCTTGTTCTGTTAGTTCACGGAAAACCTATTTTTTGGTTAGCCTGGCTCATTTATGAATATTATTACTAAATCATGGATTGTATTCTTTGCATTTGAAAGCTATAATTTATGAAAATATAAAAAAAATTGTTAGGAATTGTTTTAAGCAAACATTTGTTCCTCTTGAGTTTTTTTTGATGGAGTTAAAAATCTAGGGTAATAATAAGTATTCCATGAAGAGTGTTTACAGTACTTATTAGTCAATGTAAAAGGTATGAACATATGCTAAAATCTTGTCACTCACTTTATTTCATTTGGTGAGAGGTGAAGAAGTCGTCATGTAAGAGCTACCCATTCCACTCCCTGCCCCCCCCTCCCCTTCTATCTCCTCCCTCGGTCTGATACAAGGGTCACTCATAAAGCCTGGATGCTGCTACCAAATTTCCTGCTATCAAATTTATTGCATTTAATTATACAGTATGTGATGCCCATTACTAAATTTACTTTGCCTTTGCAAAATTGTTTTCATTACTCGTTTTATATAAGATATGAGCTCAGGTAAGTACAATTTGCGTGTCAGTACGAGGCTAGGTAAACACAGTTTAGGTGTTAGTACGAGGCTAGGTAAACACAGTTTAGGTAAGCAGTTTGGGCGTCAGTACGAGGCTAGGTAAACACAGTTTAGGTAAGCAGTTTGGGCGTTAGTACGAGGCTAGGTAAACACAGTTTAGGTAAGCAGTTTGGGCGTCAGTACAAGACTAGGTAAACACAGTTTAGGTAAGCAGTTTGGGCGTCAGTACAAGGCTAGGTAAACACAGTTTAGGTAAGCAGTTTGGGCGTCAGTACAAGGCTAGGTAAACACAGTTTAGGTAAGCAGTTTGGGCGTCAGTACAAAGCTAGGTAAACACAGTTTGGGCGTTAGTACGAGACTAGGTAAACGCAGTTCAGGTAAGCCCACAATTTTAATATAAATACAGTACTTGATTCTTTAATAAAGGAATAATGAAAATGTACATATATACCATAGCATACCAAATGAAGTTACTGTAGAAATTAATGTTTTATTCCTGGATACATGTAAAGTTTGTTCTAGTCGTCATTAGTAACATAACAAGAGTGTTAAGTAATTTCAAAATGCTGCAATTAAAATTACTTTAGCTGGAAAACTGCAATGGATTGTTAAGTGTAAATATTGGCTTCATGGTTCTCTGAAAACAAATGACTATGACATTAACATGGAAATTAATGATTTTCTCATGAGGCTGAATCATTTTGTATGTGGTTAATGTTGCCATTTAGATTAGATTGAATAAAAGAAAATTGCTAAAAAATAGGTAGTGTTTATGTTCTCCTGAATAAAATGTATATTTGATTTTGTATTTAATTTTAGTCTGTGGGATTAACTGACCAACGTTAACTTTAGTGCAATGCAAATTGTAATTACTGTACTGGTACAATACTGAAGCACTGTATTCATTTGGGTTAGAATGGTGTTTCAAATTTGTAAGGTCTAATAATGTACTTCCTCAGTACCAGTTTTTTTTTCCAAAATGTAATTATTATTACAACCTGGGAACAGGTAATTAATAAAAAAATGATTCCATCCAAACATTGGTAGTGAAAAATAATGAAACTTAAAAAAAAGGACTCATTCTGTTCATTTGCCTGTTAACCTGTATCTATAATTATAAAATGATTAGATCAGGAATAATGTGTTCTTGCAAACATTAAGCCCATATGAAT